CTCAAGTACGCGGGAGGGGAGAGGCGCACATTGCCGAGCATCTCCTCCATGTATATGTACTTGAACCAAAACTGGTCCATCCGCGGCATCAGCGTGACCGCGCGGTCCCACACGTTGCGCGCCGCGTTGATGTGCCGGTTGCGCATCTCCATCTCCGCGTACTTGAGCCACAGCGCCGAGTTGCGGTGGTCCACGTCAATCGCACGCTCGTACACCGAACGCGCGCGCTCAAAGTCTCTCTGCGCCTCCTCGAAGGCGGCGTACTTGATCCACGCGCCCATCGCGTTGCGGTTCATCCGCAGCCGGTCCTCGTACTGCTTCCGCTCCTTCATCCGGTACACCGCGAGCTCCTCCGGGTCCATCACCTTTTGCGCCGGCGCCGTGTAGGGCTCGTCCTCCTGCCGCTCGCGCGCCTCGCGCAGGATCTGCTCGGCGGTGATCTGCATCGGCGCCGGCTGCTTGTTGGTCACCTTGGGCATGTTTGACATGGCCGACATTTTTTCTGCTGCCCGGCTGCGGCGCGCGCCACAGTGGCTGTGGATTTTGGCCTCGTGTGGGTCGGAGGTCGTCCGCTCATTTGGGTGGCTCGTTTGTTTCTATGGAGTCCGGCCGCGGGTGACTAGGGAAGTTCGCTCAGGATGTGTGGCAGTCAGTTCGGCTGAGTGTCTTGTCTTGTGGTTCTGTGTGTCGCTCCTGTGTGACCGTCATCGCCCGTCTAGCGTCCACCCATACCGAAATGTGGGCCAATCGTTGGTCGGACTGTGTTTCGCCTTCCCATCAATCAATCAATGTTTCTCTCGAGGTTCTCGAGGTGGATATCCTTTGGCCGCGTTGGGTAGCGAGGATTGTGGTTATATTTTCTTTTTTCGTGCCTCGAACGACCCCTAAATCTAGACGGCACGCGTCGTCACTCAGCCGCGGAGGTAAGGTAAGGTAGGTAAACGTCTCCACACACTCTCGAGGTTCTCGAGGTGGATATCCTTTGGCCGCGTCTCCACACACACAAAGTGGGTCTCTCTCACGAAGAGTTTTAGGTCAACCCCGACGCGGACGCCGTGGTCACGGGGATGAGAGCGTCGTCCATCAGAGCGTGGCCCACCGGCCGGCAGCGCGTGTACCGAGCTGAAGTCCATGCGACCGGTGCCTTCGGCAGCGACCGCGGGCGGCTGCAGCCGCTGAGGATCTCCAGGTCGGCTCCCACGGTGGCTGCCGCCAAGGGCAGCAACCATCGTGGGGACGCGCGAAACTTTGTCGATAAAAAAAAAGTTTTAGAAACAAAAAATAATTTAACAAGCTAACGCCCGACCCACGGAGCTGGGAATAGGACCGCCGCAACGGCGTGAAAGGAGCGGCTGAGCATCCCCCCGGGGGCACAACCCCTCTGCGCCGGGGAGGCGTTGCTGGAGGCTAGGACGCCAAGCGTCCCCGTCGCCCACTATGTGTTCAAATTAACTCGGGCCCACTCCGCTACGCT